ATGTTATCTTCGGTTTGAAGTCGAGCCTATCGAACACTTTGATTTTTAAGATGAATTATACTATTTCCGTCTCGAAAAATAGTGTTTACTTTCCATTTATGGATATCCAACAAGAGATTCTCATTTCTAAACACTAGGTTCACAAGAGTCGCTCTGTTACAAGGAATCAATAACCGCCGATCCTATCTCACCCAGCACCCAACAATGTCGTGAAGCTTTTTGTCCCAACTCTCAACAGAGCCTTGGTTGAGAAAATCAGCGCTCCGGCTAAAACCACCGACAACATTCTTCTACCTGAGAAATCCTCCAAGTTAAACACCAGGAAAGTTGTGGCGATGGGTCCTAGACTTGGTGACGAGGTCGGGAAGCATGTACCAATTGGTGTCAAGGAAGGTGATGATGTTCTCTTTCCTAATTATGTTGACTCACAAGTGAAGTTGGATGATAAAGAATTTCATTTGTCTAGGGGTGAAGACCTCTTGAGTGCTGCATGAGTAACGTAGATTTCATTTCAATACTGACAACTGCAATTAGATGTTACTATGTAAAAATATACAGAATTTCTGTAAATACTTGTCTTAGAGCCTCACTCGCTATCCAACGGTCTGTGATTAAAATCTAGTCATATCCTCCCAGATAACTTTTCGGTTGGTGATGGGGGCCCTCAGATAGGGGGTGCAATCCTTTTTCCTAAGTTGTAACCGTTTTGATAATGGGACAATGGATATCATTTTTAGATGTGTAAAAAACTACCCTTATTTTTTGTCTATTTGTTTTATTAATTTGACATAAATCAAAGGCATATTTGGAAATTCAAAACAAAACTTTATCTTACATAAGTACATATTTAGTTCAAACCGAGAACATTATTTGGGGACGGTGGAGTACGTGTTAGAATTTAAGCATCGTGATATAGATTTAGTAATGATTATTAAAGAATCGAGTACTTGAGAAATTATTCGAAATCAATCAACACGAATAAGCTAAATTTATGCATTCAAGCATATTTATCTTGCTTATCGAGCGTTTGAAGCAAACACCGAACATCTATCGAGCCAAATTTGAGCCTCATTCGTAGAGTTCACCGTTCTTCAATTTCAAATCCACACACCCTTGTTACTTGAACTAGCCGAACTCGAGTTTTGGGTATGGGGGCTTGACTCGACTCTTCAATACCCTTTTTTGCCTTTTTTTTTTAATTAATTTGACATAATTCAAAGGCATATTTGGAAATTCAAAAGAAAATTTTATCTTACATAAGTACCTATTTAGTTCAACCCGAGAACAATATTTGGGGACAATGGCGTACGTGTTAGAATTTAAGCATCGTGATTTTATAAATTTAATAATGATAAATAAAGAATTGAGTACTTGAGGAATTATTCGAAATCAATCAACAACGCGAATAAGATAAATTTCTGCATTCAAGCATGTTTATCTTGTTTATCAAGCGTTTGAATCAAACACCGAACATTTATCGAGCCAAACTTGAGCCTCATTTGTAGAGTTCATCCTTCTTCAATTTCAAATCCACACACCCTTGTTACTTGAACTAGCCGAACTCAAGTTTTGGGTATGGGGGCTCGACTCGACTCTTCAATAGCGCTAGCATAGATCTCAAATCATGAATTGAATCACTTATGATTTGATTAGCTTTTGTTAGGGGTGGGTAGGGTCCATGATACCACCAGAACCTATTATGGATTGTGTAATTTGAAACGGTATGGTTTCAGTATGAGATGCGCCCCAAAATAGTTCAATGTCGAAATCATTCAAAATCGCAAACATCTAAATACTCCTAGTGTCGAATTTTTAACTATACCATTATATATAATAATGGTAACATAACATGTAAAAGTAGGTATTTTAAATCTACACACTCAAATTCAAACATAAGAATATAATAAAGGGAAAATCCTCTATACTTAATAGTAATACAAATTTATCTCCATCGTTCATCTAAAAATGATCTTCACCCTTCACTTAAACAACATCTACTAATCTCTTTTCTTCGTATTTCTTTTTCCATTTATTTTCATCTTCTTCAGCCGATCTTTTATCTTCCGTCAATACAACTCTTCTCCCCCGATGTGTTGCTTCAGTTGTTCACTATATCAACCATAGGCACCTAATTTGAATGTTGTTGTAGCATATCGCTGTTCACTCTCAACCCTAGGCATATTAAGCAAGACCCGATAGAATTTCACTGCAATGGCATGAAGGAGAAGCATGTGGTTGCAGGAATGAAACATCACCGCCGCATCCGCCGGCACCACCAGCACGTTCGACGCCGAGTTTATGTGATGGTGATTATCTCAATTATATTTAGCCAATTTCCAGTCTGATTATAACAGATTCTTTAGTTTTAAAGCTGATTGATAAAAAATAATAGTTCATTCAAATGGAGATTGGTGCCCAACAAATCGACCTCCATTATAATTTCTTCCCATTTTTTTTTCAAAATTTTGTTCTTTGAGTTGTCAAAACACCTTGGGCGGTTGGAAGGCTTAGATACAACAATCTCGAGAAGCTCGTACGAACCGAAGGTAATAATGTACATCTCCAAAATGGATTTGGTGATTTCTTAAATTATATTTCTGCAGTTGTAAAGTGAAGCATTGCATCTGTGGCTTTATTATTCAATACTATAGCCCTAAGTGGTACTTTAGAAATCTGAAATAGAGAATGAATCATGTAAACCGAAATCAAACATTAGTATTGTATATATAATGTTCTTTAAGTATAAAATCCGAATAAACTGAATATGGGCTTCTAAATGTGTTTTGAACAGAGATTATTTCTAATGCAGCACCAGGTAATAAAGAACTATGGGACATGCATGTTTATGGTATAAGATGTTTCTCTGGCATACTATCTCCATATCATATTAAATATTAATGTAGTGCTATTATATTACTGAGATTTAATTGATGATTATGCCAATTAGTTTTAGTCATCAGAACTTTACATACTTAGGAAGTTAGGAGCTACTCTACTAGTTCTATTCAAGTATTCAACTAAAGAAAACTGAATAGGAGTAAATTTCTGCCAAGTTTGACATTACTAGGCTTTAAACATGACATTTCCTTCCAAACTTGGCAGATTACTCCTGTTCAGGGACTAAAAAACATGATACTCATATTTTGGAATTTCAAAACATTTTTGCTCCTATTTAGGGCAATTTCTAAATTATCAAGAGAAAAGGTGCCAATAAGCCTTCAAATTAACCGAAAAAGAGCAAATCACCCATTTTATAGGAGGCTCTGTCCAGCCGTCGCCATTTGGGGAGGTTCCCGGTGGAATTTTTTGATTAATTTTTTTGAGCATCTTCTTCACTAAGTCTAGTTTACACCAAATTTCAGCTAAAAATTCAACCGTGAAGCCAGTCAAATGATTTCTGAAATATACTGCGTTGTTTAACTACGCAATTATCTTCAAACATTTATTTGACTGCCTTCTTGATTGCATTTTTAGCTGAAATTTGGTATGGGTAAACTAGATTTAATGAAGAAGATGCTCAAGAAAATTCATCAAAAAATTCCACCGGTAACCGCCTCAAATGGCGACGGTCGGACAGAGCCCCCTATAAAAGGGTGATTTGCACTTTTTCGATTAATTTGAGGGTTTATTTGCCCCTTTTCCCAATTATTAATAATAGTTAGATTCATATTTGTTGAAAAATGGATGTTTGTGACAAATTTAATTGTAATTATTTGTTTTTAAATTTCACGCGTTAAATTGTACGGAGTATGTAGTACTGTCAATATGGGTCTCAATATTTTATAATTAGAATTTAGATATTTGAAAATTGGATCAAAAGTTTTGTTTAATTACCTGAATCAAATTTGAATAAAATACTCTCTCCGTATTCTTTTGTTTGCTATACTTTCTTTTTGAGATGTATTTTAACTTTTACCCCGTTACAATTTCCCTTATTGATAAGCTTCTTTTTAAAATATTCAATTTTCATTAATTTTTTATATTATATTCTCTTTCATATTTTTTCACTTATTCATGATATTTTTCTTTTAAATATTATCACAAATTCTATTGTACCCACTACCGTAACAAATACCCCGTCCCATTAAAAGGTCCCACTTTGTATTTTGGATGTCCCACTCAAAGATTCTCATTTTCTATTTTAAGAAACAATTAACACTCTTAAATAACGATTTAATCGTCAACTATTAAAACAATACATTTATAATATCATGTTACCATCAATAACCTATTACGATAGTATATTATATTATATACTGAGTACTCATCAAAACTATTTTTCAAACTATACCTGAATTAGCATATATAATTATTATCTAAATAATCGTATCATTTTACTGAGAAAATTGAACGAGATGAAACCATAGTACTCTCCGTCCCTCTAAGTTTGTCCCATTTTATTTCTTCGATAAATCACACTAAGATTGTCTCATACTAAATTTAGTAAAGTTTATGTGGCTCTAAATGATTTTTATTTTATTCTTACTTTATCAATTTAATTTTAACAACACAAATCCATTTTTCTTAATAATCGTATCATCTTCTATTGTCTCAATCTTAGTGGAAAGGAGGTAGTATACGATTAAAATATGGAAAAATTGACAAGAATAATCCCACATTTCACTGGTCTTCTCATAATAATCCCACCTTTAAATAATCACAAAATAATCTCACCTTTGCACCTCATCTTCTTTCATTGGACCCTGACCATGTTTTTTACTCTTTCTTTGAAAATTATATAAATAATCTCACCTTTCACTTTTTAATTATATCCTTATAAATGTGAGATTATTTATATAAGATTTTTAAAAAAGGTAAAAAAACTTGGTCAGAGTCCAATGAAAGAAAATGAGGTGTAATGTGAGATTATTTTGGGATTATTTAAAGGTGAGATTATTATGAGAAGACAAGTGAAAGGTGAGATTATTCTTATCAATTTTTCCTTAAAATATTGATATTTAAAATTTATACGGAGTAGTATAAATGAAAATTGCATTCAACCAAACAGAAGTTTATAATTATAGAAAGTAATTATTAGTGAGAAAAACATCTGTGGAAGACAGGAATATAGATCGGTAAACATTTTCCTCAGATTTTCTCTCCCACCAATTTGAATCACAGAGATAAATTTAGTCTTCAGTTATTGTAAACGTATTGAATCTGCGTATGGATAGATGGGCGTAGATCTTATTGGGATCGGAGAGTTTTAGGGTTCGTGTTATGCTGGATGAGTTGTGATTGGTTGGTTGATCGGATCTTGTATTTTCCCTCCTGAATCGGCGTGTAACTTTATCTGCATGAACGTTGAAACAGCCCGTGTGGGATTGTTGTTGTGAAGGTCTTGCGGTGGTGGAATACCCAAAACATGTCTGCCATAGTGTGCGGCAAGAGATCAAGCATCTTCGAGGATTTGCCTTCATCATCGCCGTCGTCAGCAGCATCTCCGTCGCCCCCTCCGAGCGCGAAAAGAATCCGCTGTTCGTCTTCTTTCTCTCCGCCGAGATCCGCCGCCGGTTCATTCTCGGTTTCATCGCCTCTTGGTTATTTGATTGGTCGCTTCCCTAACATGGACAAAGAGGTTATTTTATTTAAATATATTCGATTTTTAATTATCTGACTTGCTAATTTGAATTTGTAAATGTCTTATTGTTGTCATAACGTCATTTCATTGCGTTTTTCTTCATCATTTCACATTTTCTCGATGCATTGACCATAAAATATACTCTACTTCGTATGAAAAATTCATCCCAATCTAATACCTATTCCCTGCGCTCTAAGCTCTACATGATTCTCAAAGTTATTGAAGTACTTGGACCACCTTCGACCCATATCACCATTTTCACAAAAAGGTGTAAAATCATATCAATGAGTATGCTCACTTTAACCTTGTACACCACTCCATTTTCATTACAAGTTTTTGTTTATTATACATAATACATAATATTTAGTTTTGAACTAAAATTTACTACATGTAAATATCTTAGGTTACTTACTTATCACACACAAAACTGAAATGTCATAAATCTATTGTGCAGACCAAAACTTTAACCATTCTGGCTCTAATTGGGGAAGCCCTTAATGTAGTATTTCACTTTTATGTGTACAAAAAACTCTTCAAGTATGGGAATCAATGATTTAAAATTGAATATTGGAAAAGAGTATGGTATATTGACATTTAACCATGTGGGTGTTGACAATTGATCACTTCAAAAAAAGGGCCGCCCTCTGCATGAAGGAATCCCCGCTAAGCAAGGGAAGGATCCCACCACATGGGTATATAAGGGCAAGTCTTCCCCCCTATCAAATTTTGACAAGAGGCTTCTCTTATGATTTAAACCCATGGCCTCTCGGTCACACAACAAGACCTTAACCGGTGCGCCAAGGCTCCCCTTCACAATTGATCATTTCAATCATCACTAAAGTTAATCGTATTGGAAATATACATGCTCATTATTGATGTAGTTTATCATATGGCAATCGGGCGTTGTTAGCATAATAGCATCCCATGACTCATGCCTCTATGGGAATTTATATTTTGGTTGTAAAATGGCAATTGGCAATTTATACTATGTATTAGTCTATTGTGCAGTGTAGTTGGTCGGATTATACTTTTTGTTGTTACTTTATGCAATGTTGCAAAAAATATGTTAGACGCTTCGCACCTAGGGGTGGGCAAACAAGTATAGGGACCTCGGGTCGGGCCGGGTAATACAAGTTCGGGGCGGGTTAGGGATGGATCCTAATTTTAGAAAATTCAAACAGGGCGGGGCGGGTCTTAAACAACTTAGAAACCGAACAGATCTTAAAATTTGAAAAAAAATTACTTGGACTGACCCGTTTTATAGTATTATTTTAAATTTTTTTACTATACTCCGTATTTAATATAATATACTAACAACACACAAAAGCTCTTCATATTATTGTGACTAGACAAAGACTCTCAATTGAAGAAACTTGTGAGTCTATTAAAAAAAAGTTTTAAAATCCATATAAACTCCTAAATTATTTTCTCCAATTCTCTATTCTAAATGCATCAAATTTTCTTTTTTTTGTGAACAAAGACACTTATTCAATATAGTGTGACATATTCTTTTAATTATCTTAATTTTACTTACATTTTGAGATTTAGTAAGCTTTAAATTGTTTTCTTAGACAAAATTGTATGATAACTACTTTAATTTCTTATGACTTTGTGGTGCTACTTCTTTAGTTTATGGATGATGTCTATATTTCTACATTTCAAAATTTGGCGTTACTTATTTTTGGTGATTGTGTGTTGTTTAATTTATAGATTTGTGTTAATATTTTTTTAACTAATTCAAAATGTTGTTTTATATTTTTATTTTGATTTTTTCTATATTATGGTGACATTGATACTTACCTAGTTTGAAAATGTTGTAACTTACAAGATACTTTGCTAGCATATCGGTATTTTTTTACAAAATAAAACCGAGAACTCAGACCAAACCAGCCTGTTTCAAACGGGGCCGATAAGGTCCGGTTCCTATTTCGAGACATGGTATACCCGAACTGAATTTACCCGTTACAATGCATATTCTTTTTTTATCTTATTTATCTTCTATTGCATGAGTGGCGTCGCATTTGTCATTTCTTTCTGTTTCTTTTCTGACATCATCACTTTTATTGCAAATGTTTCATAAGTAATTCTCCAAGCTGTAAAATGCTAAAGTCATCTTTTAAGAACAAGTAAACAAGTGATTATCTCCAGTTTGATTCATTTGAGAAAACCATGAATTCCGAATACAGTTTTCTGTATACCCCATTAACCCCATTTGTGTAGTTATTGAATGCTGACCCAAATTTATTTCTAGTACCTTTTTCCCATGGATATGTATGAGGCTTGTACTACGAGTGTCCGTACTAGTGTAGGGAGGAACGCAGAGTTCCCTATTACTATCGGAGTGCACCAAGCCACCAAGGATTGGTTCTGAGTCCTTTCTTATTTGCTTTAGTCGTGGATGAACTTACGAAGTCAATTCAAGAAGATATACCGAGGTGCATGATGTTTGCCGGCGATTTTGTATTGATTGATGAGACACAATCGGGTGTTAAAGCAAAGTTGTAAGTATGACGACAAACATTGGAGACCAAGGGTTTTAGACTGAGCGGAAGCAAGACCGAGTAAATGTAGTGCAAGTTTGGTGGAGGTAGAAGTAGTAGCAACAGTGGGATTACTCTGGATGGTAAAGAGATACCGGAGTGCGATATGTTTCGTTACTTGGGCTCCATAATTCAAAAGGATGGTGAATTAGATGATGTAACCCATAGAATCAGAGTTGGGTGAATAAAATGGAAGAATGCATCAAGATTCTTATGCGATCGAGGTATGCCGGCTAGACTGAAAGGTAAACTTTATCGAACAAGAATTAAGCCTGCATTATTGTATGATTTAGGGTGTTGGGCGGTGAAACAATGTCACATTCAAAAGATGAGTGTGGCAAAGATGCATATGTTGCGTTGGATGTGTGGACATACCAAAAAAGACCACTTGAGGAAAGAGATAAACAGACAAAAGGTGGGAGTAGCACCTAAAGAAGATGAGATTCAAGAGTCTCGTTTGCGGTAGTTTGGGCATTTGCGTAGAAGACCGAGTGATGCACCTGTTAGATGACTTGAGGGGTGGGGAGAAGAGACAGAGATGAGAGGGAGGGGAAGACCCAAACAGACTTGGATTAGAGGAATCATAATTGATATGCGTCTTCTTGGGTTGTATGAAAGTATGACTTGGAGAGGGCAAAGTGGAGAGCGCACATTCGTGTGGACGATTGATCTATTTTTCCTCTCTCCCCTTTTATCATTTATCTTCTTTGTCTTTTTATGTTCTTATGTTATTTTTATCTTCTAACTTTTTATGCTCTTTTATTTTTAAATCTTTTATCTTTCCTATATTCTTATGTTATTGTTAGGGAGAACTATCAAATAAGCCCTCGAACTTTCATAAAAAGTGCAAATAAGCCCATTTATAGGAGGCTTTGTCCGGACGTCACCATTTGGGCGGTTTCTGGTGGAATTTTTTGATGAAATTGTTTGCGCATCTTCTTCATTAAGTCTATTTTACCCATACCAAATTTCAGCTAAAAATTTAATCGAGAAGGCACTCAAATGATTTTCTGAAATATACTGCGCTATCTAACTGCGCAGTTATCTTCAAAAATTCATTTGACTGCCTTTCTGATTGAATTTTTAGCTGAAATTTGGTATGAGTAAACTAGACTTGATGAAGAAGATGCTCAAAAACTTTCATAAAAAAATTCCACCGGAAACCGCCCCAAATGGCGACGGCCGGACAGAGCCTCCTATAAAAGGGCTTATTTGCACTTTTTATGAAAGTTCGAGGGCTTATTTGATAGTTCTCCCTTATTGTTATCTTATACTCCGTATTTATTTATCTTTATCTTATTCGTTTTATCCTTTTTTTCTTCTTGTCTGTCTTCTCTTTTTGACATCGATATCATGGATCGATTCATGTTAGCTGACCCCAAAATCTTTTGGTATCAAGGCTTGGTTGTTGTTGTACCCTATTCCCAACTTCCAAATCAATCTTCCCTGCGGTAACTCCAAAGTTGTCACTTTACTGTGAGTTTAGGTAGTAGGAAGTTAGGAACCACCGCTTTATCTGTTAACAAGAACCAGTGAAGGAAGAGTGTGAGAAGAATGTCATAAATGTGAGAAAGAGAGTGGAATTTATAAATTGTTTGGTATGAGAGGAATAAGAGGGGAAATGAATAGAAAGAACTGAATGTTATAATGAAAAAGACAAAAAAATCTGTAACCAAAAATTACAGTCAAAACTTTGAAGAGGAGAGAGTTATATAGAAGGAATTCAAATTTAAAAAGGTTCTGTCCCTCCATTCTTTCCATGAGAGAAGATAAGGCAAACGTTAGTAACTTTTCTGCCTTCATTTTCATTGCCAAGCATACAAGAGAAACCCTGCAAATTGCAATTTATCTTTTCTTTTTATCTTTGAACAAATAATGACTAAACAATAGCTTGATTCATTTTAGTGCTTGATTTTACATACTTACCTTTTTCTTGTAATGAATGTTGCAACAGAAAGGGCATCCAGTATCAGTGTTCAACTATATTTTTTTGCATGAATTTATAGTGTTAAGGAACTTTATACAATCAATTGGCACTATAGATTTAATGACACTGATCCCAACCAGTTGGGAATTTGGGACTAAGGTGCTCATAATGACTGATGTTCTCCTTTACTCTGTTCTTAAATTTTGCACTACAGTTGCTAGAAAAGGCACTTCATGAATGTGGACATGATCTTGATTCGACTATTAAGAGCCTCAATGAACTCTTTTTGGGATCTGGTGAGAATATTACCTCAGCTACAGGAAAGCCTGATGCTACACTGGAGGCTAGCTCACATGTTTTAAATCAAGGTTCATTTTCATTCCTTTTTTATTTATACTATTGAGTGTTTTCATTATATTTTGCATTTTCATTCACTTCTTTGATTTTTGAGGCTGATGTTTTTCATTGCAGCCGTTAGGGAAAGGAATTTGTTCTTTCGTATCCATATCCTATAGGCTATATATGGAACCCAGAAACTGGTACGGAAAGGGAGAAATGCTAAAAAAATCTTAATGTTTGTTCTACTTCTACCATGAAATTTATGAAGGAAAAGCAATTTTGATTAGAACTTTTAAGATTTTTCATATGTTCAAATTTTTTTATTATATAATCGAAATATGTAAATAAATTGACTGAAGAAATATCTAATACTCAATTTAACAAGTTTGAACCTAAGAAGCACAGAAAGTGTACAAAACTCTCGTTTTGCCACTTCTTAAACTCTGAAACGTGTCAAAAACTTCAAATATCCATGCTATTTCTGTCATAAAAAAGTTGGGAAGCATGTTTCTCTAGTTAGCTAGCAGTAGCATTTAAAAAATGCCGGGTCTACTTCAGTATTGTTTTTTCTTTTTATGGAAATGAGTGTTATTATGGTGTTACTTGAATAGTTTTTTTTGGGTGGGATTTCTTTATGGCAACATATTGTCTCCAATATTTCGTAGCGCTGTGTTGCTGGAAATGTAATGCATTTAACAATTAACATACGATTATGTATAAATATGTAAACAATTTATGTATTTAACTTTTACACTAATATTATTTGGTTAAGTAGCAATGTCGCCAAAGTCAATACGAAAAAATATATTCACATATATTTATATAGATGTATGTGTGTGTCTATATATCTCTATATGTGTATATGTTTATATATGATTTATTTTAAATATATCTCTATAGTTTTTATACTTGCACGTTCTTTCACATATATTTATATAGATGTATGTGTGTGTCTATATATCTCTATATGTGTATATGTTTATATATGATTTATTTTAAATATATCTTTATAGTTTTTATACTTGCACGTTCTTTCACATATATTTATATAGATGTATGTGTGTGTGTCTATATATCTCTATATGTGTATATGTATATGTATGATTTATTTTAAATATATCTCTATAGTTTTTATACTTATACGTTCTTTCCAATCGGACCTTATTGTTTGCATTTACACATGTTGCATTTTTCAGTTTGACAGACTTGTTTTTAATTAAGGTTTTGAAACTGTGGATTTGTTTTCGTTACAATGGACACATGGGTTAAAATTTATCTGTAAATTCCTTGTGTCCTTCCTCTAACTGCAGCCATGGCCAGAAAAGAAAATCCAGGGTTATACATAATTCTGCTCATTTCTATGTGTTTAATGCTTGACTTTAGAGTAAGCACCTTGCCTATTGAAGAGGTATTGATCTGTTCTGAGTTCTGATTAAAATCATAAAACATCAAGAGGTGTGGAAGTTGAACATAACTTCCTATAATCCAACAGTAAAAGATCTAAGTATAGAAAAATTACTTAGACCAAATAGGCCCCAGCGGATCATTTCCACATAAGACCTTATGTAACATTTCTATGCATTGATGCTTTTCTTTATGTTTCACATGAGTTGGAATTCTATGTCTAGTATTCAAGTTGATGTTGAAGTTGACATTTCCTGGGTATGCAGGCTCAACAGGTAGTGGGGATGTTTCACCTCATGAGCAACCCTCAGCAAATAATCAACCCCCTGTTAATAGGGAAGAATTTGTTGACATTTTTGTCAGAGAAATGATGGTTGCATCTGATATAGAAGATGCTAAAGCCCGTGCTTCAAGGGCCCTCGAGGTTTTTGAGAAGTCCATTTGTTCACATGCTTCAGAAGCCGCCACCCGGAGTTTCCAGCAGGTAGTTGGTTAGGAGGCTCCACTTTTGTGCTGGATCTCTTTGTTTGCATCTGATTTTTAATTAGATTTCGGCCCCGCTCAGATGTTCTTCTCTAGTTTTCCTCCAAGAGACCACCTATCGCTTCTGAGAATATCCATATCGAGTTTTATTTCTATCTATGATGCATGGTAACACTTAGGCTCTATTTGGAACTATGGTAGGGAATTGATAGAGGAAAGTATAAGAGGAATTTGGAAGGAAAAAAGTATGAGGGAAAATCATGTTGTTCATACTCAAATATAGTCACTTTTTAGATCCTTCATTATGTTGCTTCTCATCCTGTAATTTATGCTTCTTTAGTCCCTCCTTGATTCTTCAACAACCCTAATTTATGCTTCGCTCTAAACAAACTCATCATCAACATTATGTTGCTTCTCATCCTGTAATTTTACTTCTGCATGATGACAGATACATTTAAGCCAAAAACATGAATCTTACTGCTTTTTCTGTTTATAAAATCAAACTAAGAAAATGTCTTTATTATCTTTTTTTCCTTCACAGTTTGTACATCTGACCTCCCCTTACCCCACCGTAGGTGGGGAGCCTTTGCGGCACTGGGGTAATGATAATGATGATGATGAGTTTGTAAAATTCATTTCTGTCCTTGAAATTTCATTTCCCGTTTGCAAAGTCAAATATACTGCTCCTGTTATCCAGAATCATTCTGAAACTTCTATAGAAGTGTTTTTCAGACAAATGTTTGTGTTGTCTTTTAAGCCTGAACTTGTTTATTGAGGGGGAGGAAGTTGATGTAACATTCCTCACAAACGTTTCTCTATGCAAAAACTATTCTTCATTAAATCTCTGTTATGAAACTCAGGAGAACATGGTGCTGAGACAACAGCTTGAAACTCTACTACACGAGAATAGTATTCTGAAACGAGCGGTTTCCATACAGCATGATCGCCAGAAAGAATTTGATGAAAGAGGCAGAGAAGTTAACCATTTAAAGCAGCTCTTAGCTCAATACCAAGAGCAGCTTAGAACTCTCGAGGTAAAGTCACCACCACTGTTCATCACCTGGGTAAATGCATTTCGGGTCGTGGAACTATATGGTTTGCTGAAATTAGTCTTGTTGAGATTTGTTTCGGCTGGTTTAGACTCGAAGTAACTATATGGTAATTGATCCACCATAAAGTACAATTTAAATTGGTGGCCCAGTGTGCTAATAATTTATAAAGTTTTGAAATGCCAAAAATGACATTCTTAAATAAAAATTTGTAATTGTCGTTTTTATATTCTATTCAAGGTTGTCAAAGGCGTAAGGCGCACCTGAAGCGCTAGGAGTCTTCCGGCGCTTGAGGCGCAAAGCGCAAAAAAAACGCTCGCTTGACTCGGGTGAAGCGCATTACTTATATAAAGTCACATATACTATTCTATAAATACCAAATATGATGTATGTAACATCATATTGAACCAAATGCATCAAAAAAGCTAGGATTCACCAAATAATAAAGTTTGGTATATTGAATTAGCACATTATTATTATTTTCATTATTATTTTTATAATTATTATTATTATTATTATGATTATGATTATGATTATTATGATTATTATTATGATTATGATTATTATTATTATTATTATTATTATTATTATTATTATTAGTATTAGTATTATTAAGATATGGGCTTTTTTTTCAAAGTTTTAAACTAAAAAAGGGCTGTCAGCCTTTTCCGTTTCAGGCGACGCAGGCGCGCGCCTATAGCGCTTCCGCGCTTCATGCGCTTCTAGCGCTTATGCTGCGCCTTGCCCAGGGTTGTGCGCTTCTACCTTACTCAGGCGCTAGGGGTCTACCTCGCTGCGCTTTGTGCGCTTAAGCGCAGAAGCGAGCGCTTTTGACAACACTGATTCTATTATTACATTCTTGGCATTTTTTTACATTTAATGAAATTGTCACATCACCTTCATTGGATCCCCAACCGGACTTTATGAGGAATTTCTCACATTTTGGTGGATTAATTGAAGAAAATATTATATAGCAAGACTAGTTTTTGCTAACTCTAGGCAAAATTGCATTTTACCTGCTCCACTACCTTGATCCCAACTATATTGCGCTACAACTTGACATTTATAGTCAACTAATTGCATGAGCCTGATTTGATTAACCTGAATTGCAATCAGATTGTCATGTTATTGAATGCACACTTAGGGTGGGGGGGGGATGTATTTCCCCTCCTTTCCGAATGTTATATTGTTATAACCTTAGAAGGGGAGCGATGTATCTTTCCTCCCCTCCTATCCAACCAAACAAGCACATACAAATTGAACTGTTCAAGGCTCTTACTCGTCAAATTGTGTGCTCATCAGGTTAACAACTACGCACTTGCAATGCATCTCAAGCAGGCACAACAAAGTAACTCCATCCCGGGACGTTTCAACCCTGATATCTTTTAGTATAAGCTTGATGCCCGTTTGGCCATCGCAAGCAGCGTATACCAATTGTGTATTTTCTTAAATGATATATTGAAATATGTTAGACTGATTTAATCAATATATTGAAATATATTATTGTGTGGCAATACTGAACAGTCTGAACTCAAATATGATTGCTTGTGCTTCGCCTTTTAGTGGATTTTTGTTTTTGCTCAATGCAAACGATTTCTTACTAATTAGCATCTGTAAACACTACACTACTTTTCTGGTTTTTAATGTAGCTCCTTTCTTATATTAGTTGTTAGTTTTGAGGGAGGAGGAAGTTAGAAGTTAGTGGCATATGGGGTTTCAATCTAGTAGTGAGGAGTACCAGGTGGTTTACCCCAGCCTCGCACATTATTTTTATCAATAGACAGTGAAATGTTCTAATCGATGAAATAGAGAGAAAATTGCCATGGCTAAGACAAAAACACAAGCTTTTTCCCAAAATAGGACTCGATGTTTGGTTTTCCCTAAATAGGACTAACCATTCCATTTTTATCCCTAATTGAATTAATTAATTAATTAACTCAATTAATTGCCCCCCTAGTTTTCTTGCACAACCAAGGCAGTCCGTCGGTGGCGGGGCAGTCCGGTGGTGGTGGCAGCTCGGTGGCAGTGGTTGTGGCAGCTCGGTGGCAGTGGCGGCTGATTCCGGTGGCGACGGCAGATTATTAAATTGACCTAAATAATTGCCCCCTAGTTTTCTTGCACAACCAAGACAGTCCGTTTGTAGTGGCAGCGGATTCCGGCGGCGGCGGATAACTCCGGCAGCAGGTGGCGGTGGTGGTGGTGGCGGGTGGCTGGTAGCAGGCAGCAGTGGGGGTATTTTGGTCCAATCACACGTAAAAAGTCATATTTAAGAATGTTTAAACTAATTGGTCCTATTTTGAGAAAAAAGCCATGTTTTAAATAAAAAACATTTACATAATAAATAAATCAAAAACTTACGTACATTAATAAAAAAAAAATAATGTACGTAAGATAAAATGTACGTAAGTTTTTTTATTTATTAATGAGTTTTCGTAAGATAACATTTTATTAATGTACACAAAATATAGCAAGAAAACATACGTAAGTTAATAAAATGATATATTCTAGATTTCTAGGGTTATATTTTATTCAAGAGTTAATTAACGTACATTGAGTTTTCGTAAATTTAATGTACTCCAAAGATTAATGTACGTAAGATATAGAATGAGTTTTAAATAATATGCTAAAGTAATGTACGTAATAAAATGAGTTTTCGTAAGATAACAGCCACAATAATAAAATATGCTAAATTATTTAGCTTATTATATGCTAAATAATATGCTAAATTAATGTACGTAATAAAATGAGTTTTCGTAAGATAACAGCCACAATAATAAAATATGCTAAATTATTTAGCATATTATATGCTAAATTAATGTACGTAATAAAATGAGTTTTCGTAAGATAACAACCACAGTACGAAAATTTATTGTGGCCTAGAGTTTTCGTTAATAAAATATGCTAAATTAATGTACGTAACTTGGAAAATATACGTACATTGATTTATTTAAAATGTACGTAAGATAAAAATTTATGTACGTAAGTTTTTGATTTACTAATGTTACTTACATTAATAAATCAAAAACTTACGTACATATTAATAGCCATGCTTAAGAAAACTTACGTACATTAATAAAAAATTTAAATAATATCTTACGAAAATTCATTTTCTAAGATCATGATATATTTTGTGTTCTTTTTATTCTCCTATTATATGTGCCACAAATAAACTCATCACACTACCTCCACACCAGAATCTATGAACTCACATAATAAATAAACCATTTGAGGTGCTATCAGACATTTACATTCTTACTTGTTAGCGTAATAGTCTGCACTTAGCCACATAAATCCTACTACAGAGCTAAGGTAGGGTACATCTGAGTATCTGACCCCTCCTTATTCACCATTGGCTGATGTTTGAACATATTTTATTGTGTTCAATTTAATTGTAATTATCTTTATGTATTAGATTTAATTAGTGGATTTTGTAATTAAAAAAGAAGTGGGCTTCCTTATGTAATTAGGTGTTCGATTAAAAAAGAAGTGGACTTCATAGGTTAATCGTACAACCTACTGATCAGTAGCCGCACTATTCATTATTATTAGCCCTATTATTGTGTAGCGGAAGAGTAGATCGAAGAGCTTCGTAGAATACTCTGTACTGTTCGTTCATCATCATCGTCAAGTATTCTATGAAAGTTTTTTTATCTGATGATATTATTGTGTCCATCTATGAATGTCATTGAGATTCAATTAACAGTGGAGTTTTGGCGACATTAAGTTAATGTTGTTGTTGTATGTCTTGATATATATATTATGTAGTATATCATACTTCCTTCATCCTTAAAAGGTTCGTCAAATTGACTTTTTTGGTCAATGATAGTCAACTTTGACCAGTGATATTTTTAACACAATCTTTTTTAATACGAAAATTTTCTTTATCTAAAATATTTTCGTAAAAGTATAAATTTATAAATTATATACAAATATAATAATTAAAATAATTGTCCAATGTTTGGCATAATTGACCCAAAAAATCAATTTGACGAATTTTTCGGGACGGATTTAAACGTTATCACAATTTAATTTGTCCAATACTTAAGTTTCTTCCTATGTGTTTCTCACGGAAACGTTATCAGGTGTTGACCTTCTACTTTCACATAACATTGTTCCACAAGCTTAGTCACGACTCACTAGTGCCTAAATGAACTTTATATTTTTCTTTTTCATGTGTTATATAATTTTTTTTAGGGAAAATTCCTGAAATAGGAGTAAAAAGATTGGAAATTCCAAAATAGGACTGTCATGTTTTTATTCCCTAAATAGAAGTAATTATTGACAAGTTTGGAAAATATTATCATGTTTAAAGTTTGGTACTGCCAAAATATGACAGTACCATTAGTCATATTTTGGGAATAAAAATATGATAGTCATATTTTAGAATACACAAACGTTTTTAGTCCTATTTAGGGTAATTTCTCTTTTTTTTATTGTATAAAGACTAATCCGTTATGTTTCTCCAAAATCATTCTAGAATGCAAGTAGATTTCAACATCACGAATTCTATAAGTAAGTTTTTTTTGTTTGCAATAAACAATTCCACTCCGTATAATTTTAGCCTAATTCTCTGTAGAAGATAATATACGAAATAGTTGATATTTCTTTGCATCCTTTTCTTTCACTGTCAAATAGGTCATCGAACTTTCATAAAAAAGTCAATTAAGTCCTTCTATAGAAGGTTTTGTCCGGCCGTCGCGATTTGGGGTGGTTCCCGGTAGAACTTTTTGATGAATTTTTTTTAGCATGTTATTCACCAAGACTAGTTTACTCATACCAAATTTCAGGTAAAAATTCAATCGGGAACACATTCAAATTAATTCTTGAAGATAACTGCGCATTTTTGCGTTCTCGAATTAATCTGAATGTGCTCCCTATTAAATTTTTAGCTGAAATTTGGTATGAGTAAACTAGACTTGGTGAATAAGATGCTCAAAAAACTAATCAAAAAATTTCACCGGGAACCGCCCCAAATCGCGACGGCCGGACAGAATCTCCTATAGAAGGACTTAATTGACCTTTTTATGAAAGTTCGAGGACCTATTTGACAGTTTTACCCTTTCTAAATGAACATTAATGAATTTTAGTCTGTGTATTTTTTCAGAAACAACAATAAAGAAATAGTTTGGGGTTAAGAGAATACTTTCCGACGAATCCTGTGTTTTGATAGAACATTTTTTTGTTCGGCTGTATATGTTTAAGTCCAGTATGTTTAAATCTAATCTTCTTTCGAAGCCTGATTTGATTTGATATAATTTGTTCTTAAATGATCTAGTTTGATATAATGAATTTGTGATTCTTGTAACAACACTGTCAATAACATTAATGTATTATTCATTTCACAGTTACTAAAATATGAAATCTTTAAGCTTTTAAGTTATGTTAAATTATTTAGACCGATGACAAAACTAAAAGTATATAAAAATATGAATAATAACCTTATACTCCATATATTTTTAGACCAAAAATGACAATCAAACTGGAATTTTATATAAATACTCCGTAAAAAATAGTAAAAACAGATGATTTTTTTGTAGAGTAAAATGCATAGATAGTACATTGACTATTGGTAATGATGCATTTTAGTATCTTAAGTCTTTAACGAAGGAAATCGGTATCTCACACGTTTAAATGTTGCAATGCGTGATGCGTCATCAATATAACGAGATATTGTCAATTACTTATTTACTTTTCATGATCATTGTAGGATGAAAATTCTAATTCATCATATTAGTACTTAAAATTCAGATATTCAAATACTACACTAAAAAGTTAGTGAATCGCATCAATAAAAATTGGTGCCAAAGGTCAAATAAAAAAGTTATTAATTAAACGGATCAAATGAATAGTTAACTACTTTACTGTAAACTTCAACCGGATGGAAGGATTATATAACATATTTATGAAATACATTTTAATTTAAAGAATATTAAAATTGTACTAGTCCAGTTTAGGTTAAATTGGTCATGGTACCCATTTAGGCTAAATTGGTTTGAAGTACACCAGATCATAGAATAATATATAACACATCAAATTTGACAATTTTATTTAGAGGTATTTACCTAAATAGGAGTAAATCAGTCTTTAATTGCAAAAGTAGGACCAAAGTTTAAAAATTCCCAAAATAAGAGTTATTATTTGTAATCAGGCAAAAACACCCCTGAAGCTTATAAGTCATACTCCCGCAGACCACAACACTGGACCACAGCCATTCGTCGGTCACCGCCGGTCGCCGCCATTCAACGTCGGTCGTCGACAACCTCAAAAATGAGCCGCCGTCGCAAATCAGCCCACCGCCGTTGCAGATCTGGAGGGCGTCACCGGATTGAGCCTCCGTCGGCCGTCAGCCGCCGTCCCTTCAAATCCAGCCACTTTCGCAACTAATGTGGCATTCGCTGCTACAAATCTAACCTCCTTAGTTACAGATCTGCCCGTTTCCAGTGTAAATGCCAAGATTTTTATCAGAATGTCATCTTAATGGCATTTCCAAATGAAGATACAAAAATTTTTAAGACTAAAAATGCCATTTATATGCCATTTTCAGATTTAATTTGGCATTTTGTAACAATGAAAGAAGAAATGGAGCAGAACATTCAGAGAAGAAGCAGATCTACTGAGAATGCCACTTTCGCAACTAATTTGGCATCCACTGCTACAAATTTGACCTCCTCAATTACAGATCTGCTCGTTTCCAACGTAAATGCCAAGATTTTTATCAGAATGCCAGCTTAATGGCATTTCCAATTGAAAATACAAAATTTTTAAGACTAAAAATGCCATTTATACGGCGTTTTGGCATTTTGTAACAATTAAGAAAGAAACGGAGCAGAACATTCAAAGAAGAAGCAGATCTACTAAGAAGAAAAGTTTATCTCCGGCGGCAGCGGCGGTGTCCTTCGCGACGGAGATAGAGAAGAAGACCTTCGGCAGCGATGGCGGCAGAGAAGAAGATCTTCGGCAGCGGACTTCGTATCTGCGTCGACGATGGCTATGGCTGGGCTTCTAGGTCTGGTTGTTGTTATGTGAAGGGGTAGGAAGAAGATCTGCAGGGAAGGAGAAGGTGAGGTGTAGGGAAGGAAGAAGAAGATCTGTTGGGCTTCTAGGTGGTTGTTGTTGTGCGTATGGGGGAAGAAACGAAGAAGGATGTGGGGTTTTGGCCTTTGGGATATGAGTGGATCGAATAGGGAAATAGGGTTCGGGCATGAGTGGAGCAGCGTACCATCATTAAGGGTAAAATTGGATTAATTTTGAAATTGAGTCCTATTTAGGATAAAAAAATAAAAGCAGTCTTATGGGTTATGACAGCTTATTCGGTCTTATTTAGTCCCATTTACGACCAAATTGTCTTATACTACGTATTTAACTATACGGCTATACCAAATTCGCATTTCATAATAAAAAAGAGTCCCATCAGACCAATTTATGCCATATATTCAGGTGAACATACCAAACCAAGCATAAAAATCAGGTTATACTACGCATATGATTAGGCGAGACCATGTGCAAATCATTCCAAATAATATTATACTACCTCCGTCCCGCTATGATTGTCCCGTTTTACCTTATCGATCCGTCCCACTAAGATTGTCCCATACCAAATTTGGCAAAGTTTGTGTGGCTCTAAATCATTCTTACTTTATTCTTACTTTATCAATTCAATATCAACCACATAAACCACTTTTTATTGATTTGTGTGTCACTCCCTTTTGTCCCATTGTTAGCGGGACGGAGGGAGTATCTCTTTTCTTATTAAAATATAATTTCACAATTAATATCTTCAATCGATATTAGCAAATTCAGAAATCTTATTTTGGAATACAGGGACGAATCCAATAATGAAAGATGTGGTGGACTAAGTAGTAAGGAATTGATAACGAACCAAATCTTTTTCGGACTACTCGAGTTTGAACTTGATTCTAAATCTAATTTCATGACCCGAGCTTAACGAGGTTCAAATTCGAACACGGACTAGATTTTTAGTTCAAATAGTTATTCAAGTCGAGTTCGATCATAGTGATGTGTGATTCGACCCAGACTCGAGTTCATTGATGGATTATAAATTATAAGAATAAATTATACTACGTGTATCTTAAAATTTAAACATTTTTAGTGCGCCTTTATAAATTTATTAATGATTGTTAAAGATTCAAGTAATTATTGAATAGTTCGAACACGAATCTATTAATGAGTATAGTCCAAACTTCTACTTTCGAGCATGTTTATCGAGCTTGTTGAGTTTCAAATTGAATATCGAAAATCTATCGAGTCAAACTCGAGTTCCATTTTGTATTAGGTAAATATTCATTTTATGTTTCTATGTAGCTAATTAATGATAATTTCATATGTATAATATATGACATTATGACCATTAACACGTTAAACTTTTGTCTATGAAATTTTCTCTAATATTCAATTGTGTATGAGATTATGATGTATTAACAAGAAAAAATGGCAAAAATATTACTCCTAGACTCTTGGTGGACAAAAGTATGACCACATTTCTGTTTGGACATTAATGAGATTAAGGGGGTGTTTGGCTGTTGGCTTTTGGTTGTTAGTCGATTCTGTTGGCTGATTGGTAACAGCGGATTTCGTTGGATGTTTTGATTAGCTGATAGTATTGGCTGTTTATAGAACAATGTTTGGTTAAATGGTTGTTTGCAACTGACTGATAATTTGTTAAATGACTTTTAAGGACATCAATTAATTTATTTCACTACTAACCACTTACCACTTTAATATTCGTAATACACATTTTGCTAATGTTATTAGTGCAATTACTTAATCCATTCTATTTTTATTTAATAAAGAATAATAATTAATTAAAACAAGTAATATTTCTTGTAAACTTCGTTTTTCATGTATCAATAAATTTTATAAGTACGATTATATTTTGACTAATTAATGGAATAAGAAGCGCAAAATATACTAAAAAAGTTGTGTTAGAAAAAAAAATATCAATGTCACCATAATCAAATTATAATAGTAATGACCACTTCATCGTAACAAATGATGTATCTTAAAAAATTCATAATATTGTCTAAGAGCTCCTTCTCGCTGCCATCAAACTAGATGCAATATTATCACGGATGACTGCCATTTCGCGAATTCTCATATGTTCAACGCTTTGCGCAGAAGTTGATTCAACGTCACGAAAGATATCATCTGGTATGAAATTTGGATCTTGATCAATGATAGTAAAACCCGGATCCCCAATCTTGCTTTTCCGAATGTAGTTATGCAGTGCAAAACATGAACAAATTATCTTATTCTGACCATGTAATGAATATATGGGCATTTTCTGTAATATTCTCCATCGCGCCTTGAGAACACCGAAAGCCCTCTCAATGCAACTTCTTAGAGATGAATGTGCTCGATTAAATACTTCTCGAGACCCCCTTGGATTTGCACTACGAAACTCTGTTTGATGATACCTTGTCTTGAAGTAAGGTGTCAGATACCCTTGTCTCTCGGGAAAACCTTTATCAACTAAATAATATTTACCTACATGTACATGCATAAAGTAAATAAATTAGAACATTTATTTGGCAAGTGGGTAGTATTAAAAATTACCAACCTGGTGGTGGTTTTGGAAAATTGAGACTTGGGTTATTGATCGCATCAAGGAAAATGCGAGCGTCATGTGTTGTTCCCTCCCAGCCGGTCAAAACATACGTGAATAACAAATTAAAGTCACATGCAGCTAAGACATTTGTTGTTGGTATCCTTTTCTTCCTCTATATCGCATTTGATCTTCCTCTTTAACAGTTATTGCAATATGTGTGCCATCAATTGCTCCAATACAATCCTTATATTAAAAATCACTAAATTATATTACACCAATAAATAAATGAATCAAAAGGACCACAAACATAATATTAATTTACCTTAAAATATGGCAATTTGTGTTGGAATCTCTTTGAACTTAGGATCTTTGGGTGTAAGCATGTCCCTTGAAAATGAAACCATGATATTCAATACCTCTTTGAAAATTCTACTCACAGTTTCACCCGAATGTTGAAAACGTTCTTGAGTATCTCTATTAGAAGAACCCTTACTCACAACATAGACAAATAAGCCAAGTTTCTCCAAAGTTGTCATTCTACTTGAAGCCGCTAATCCATACTTTGTTTCCAAGTCTGAACATAATTGACGAAATGTAGTTTGGTTCATCCTAAAAGCGTTAAAACATCATTTTTCATGACCATACAACAATTCATCCATCCATCTTTTTCCTGTTAAGTATGATGTCATACAACGTTCCTTATATATGTGATTCATGAAATACACATACATATAGCTAGTTGTACAAGCTACCAAATCCCAAAAGTCATCTTCATCGTCCAAATACTCTTTAATTGGGAGAAGCTTCCTAATGGTTATATTAGTATCATCCATGCCTACAAAAATACATGTCATCTTATTTTAGCTTAAAAATAATAAATACTATTAATAATATAGCACAACCATAAAATGTAGATAAACAACCCATATAACATAATTTCATCATAACAAGAATGATTCAATCCAATGTAGTGAGGCATTTAGTAGTGAGCCAAGCATAAGTTCATAATATAGTTTGGAGAATAATAAAGATTCCAAAATATGGCAATCCATAACATCAGTTCATAACTAAGTTAAAAAAATACTAATGTAAACATAGTGATGTCTTTTAAATCTTGTTCCGCTCAGCATACACAAACTTGATGTACTCAACTCTCATCTTGTCATTTGGTAAACCAAGAAGAATAGACCTTTTCTGTGGATCCTCAATCATCGTGCAAGCAAAATAGAATTCAGGTGTGCTCGGATCTAGATCCAAAGCACACAACTTTGCTAATGCATCAATAATTTCATCATCTTTAGGTTTGACCATTGAGTCCATAACACTCATGATAGACATATGCACTCCCTTAGATGTATTATTCCTTTCTCCAATGAGTTGCATCATGCTATCAAGTTTCTCACCCAAAGATTTTGTTTCACCCGCCCTTTTCGAGGTTTCAATCCTTGCACTCTTATTAGATTGCGGTGCATCATTCACTTCAACTCTCTTGTCGTTCCTTGTTTCATACCTTTCATTTTGTGTACCTATAGGAGAGATAGGAGGGGGGCTATCGTCTCCCCAAACATCATCCCAAGCTTCACGAGTACTACCACCATATGTAGCATCTATATCATCAACATGATTACCATGAGTATCACTACGAGGTGGAGAAGGAACATACACATTATCATCTTCAGCTTGCATATGACTTTGTGTAAGATCAGACACTGGAGTGTATTTTAAAGCACCTTGAGCATAAAATCCAAACATTTGATCCATCTTATAGGCTAGTTCTGGTTCAATCCCTTCTTCACGAAGTGCCTCAAATTTTGAATTCTCCTATAAAAACTTAAAGTTTAAAATAACCTCTAGATACTTATAATCCAAGTACATACTATCACAAATAAAAAAACTAACCTTAATCTTCATGTTCCACCACTCATCAGTAGCATCAACAGTATTTTTTACAGGATCCCATCTTAATTCCGTCTCATTTCCTTTCAATAGTTTCCAAAGACCCCACTTATGTCTCATCCAATCTAGCTTATGCTTAAGTTTTACTTTATCCCAGTGGAGGTTTGTATGTTTTACAAAATTGACTTCTATTCTTTTCCATACCAACCTTTGAGAAGTTACTCCACCATTTTTTCCCTTGCTCTTTTCAACATTTTTCAGGCAGAGGTCGCAAAGGAAGTGCACTAACTCTTTTGTCCAACCAGCTCTACCTATAGTTGCACTTTGCTGACTTTCGTTGTTCTTAGTTCGAGCGAGTTTCATCTAATAATATAGCAATAAACTAATAATTCAAGAAACATTATACTACATAAAATATATTGTACATGTGAAGTAGTTGATCAAAAAAACTAATAAGTACTAACCAATACTTAGCAGACAAGCATAAAAGTCAAAAGCATTTCAATGAATGGATATAAAAAGGACTACAGGCATCTATTAACTCCAGTATCCTATATCCTCACAAACTACATCATTGAAAATGAAATAAACTGGTGGGTTATAAATCATGCTACAACTGCTATCCATTCTACCTAAATTCATAAATAGTACTAAGAGAACATACACCAAAGCGAATGATTAAGTTATAGGGACTTTCTTCTATTTTACATTAATAGTATTATACTAGTATTAGTATTAGAAAAAGTTCTATTTATATTACCAAGGAGAAGCTATTGGGAAAAAATATCAGTACACCTATTTTATTAATCAAGTTAAACAATTTACTTACTATCAGCTCTTTTTTGGCACCATAAAAAACACATAATGAGCTTAAATAATACTCATTAAAGGAAGATAGGAATGTTGAGTATTATACAAAGCCTATATATTGTGGTTTTGCATTACAAGATTAATTTGCCACAAGTAAATGGAAGGAATAACTCAAAGTAAGAGTGCCCGGCTGCACGGAGGTAGTGTACTACTAGTTTATTGGAGTGTGTTTGTTGATTTCCATTACCTTTTTTAATTGATCTCGATTTTGTGAGAGTCTTCCACGGCAAGAAATTGGGTGAGATGGTAGAGGATAAAGGTAGTCGGATAATAAGTTACTATTGTTACTATCATAATACAGAAGCACAACACTTCCTTCTTTGTCAACCGAAAAACTCAAAACTGGGACATATACATGTGTCAAACTCAAACATAAAAATACAAATTCAAAACTTCACATAAACATATTATCAGGTAACATGAACAACAGTTTAGTTCTTCTGGGATTCAAGGCATTCTTTTTTGTCCTATTGGTGTAAAAAATATGAAATAACTTCCTCCTTTGGCTAGGTAGCTAAATTCTTGAAAACAAACCTGTGGTGCATGATTTTATCAAATATGTTCAGACGTTATACTTGTGGCTTGAGGTTCAGATGGAATATGTGTGTGTATCCCTTAATTTTGATGAGTTTTAACCATTATGTGTAAGAGCAAAGACGATTGTTGCTTTGAACCTCTTGGATATTGTTTGGAAACAGACTTAAACATTGAGTTTTCAAGCTATGATAAGGTATTACATGCTCTTCAATGCTCTTCAAGCAATTGGAAACACCGTACCGTAAGCATATCTTATAACATAAATATGTGGTGGCGTGGTGGCATGGTGGAGTAAAAGCTCTGTGGATTTTCCAATCCATAAAATCAAAACAACGGTTTTGAATTACTTGTTTCAGAGTTGATTTGATGAAAGAAGAATACCGTCTCAGACAAAGCCAGATAGCTTGTTGTAGCACAAGTGATGATCTGATGTGCCTTGCAGAGCTTCACGGTTGCACTTTGTTTTAATTTAGGCATAGGATATGGAAGATGAAGTGACGAGAATAAAGAAAAGGGAGGCGGTACGGGTAGAATAGGAATACCGGATAATTTTTCAAACAGCCAAGACCTAAACGCTAGGTTTATTGGCGTTTCTTATTTTAGCTGTTTGGGCCAAACAGCCAAGTGAAAAAGCCATTAACCAAACACTTTTAATCTGGTAAAAAAGCCAAGTGTTGGTCAAAACAGCCAAAATTCAATTGTTATAGGCGTTACCAAACACCCCCTAAATAACAGTGGAAGGCCCAAAATACCCCGTACATATAATAATTCCAACCCTAATTCAAGCATCGTTGAATCCATGTCCCTGGCTACATCCTTTCTCGCTTCATCTGCTGGCCATCTGCATCGCTGGGGTGGAGGAATTCGTCCGCCTGCATCGCTGGTCATCTGCGTCGCTGGGGAAAGGAAACCCGCCCGTCTGCATCTCTGTGAAGGGGGATCCATCCGCCTGCATCGCTGGGAAGAGGAAATTCGACCGCCTACGTTAGGAGTGGGCATAAAATCCGAACCGAACCGATACCGACCCGTCCCGTAATGGTACCGAACCGAATACCGGGTATTTAAACGGTTCTATAGATTTTTATCCCGTACCGAAACCGTACCGTTTGAAACGGGTAAGGGACCGGTCCTAGATTTTGAAAACCGGAAAATACCGGACCGAACTGTTCGTAAATAATGCATTTGGATTTTTTTATACTTTTTCTATATCAATAGTTCTAGACCAACAATTTTATACCCCGAGTATGTATTCATGTGTCCCTAAGATATCTAAAATGTGTTATATATATATATATATATATATATATATATATATATATATATATATATATATTGTTAGTTTTTCTTTTTAGATAATTTATGTTATATTTTGGTATGTATTGAAAGAATATTAAAATTTTAGAAATCATTAATGATTATTTATTTCTAGTAATGTAGTGTACATAACTTTTTGTTGTATCATGTTTGTGCATTTGTTTACAACTTAATCAATATGGTTTAAATCTTAGCTCTCAAGGTTCAACTATAAATTAAATAAGAACTACGGAGTAACATTTAACCTAGAACGAAGAAGAAGAATGTTGAAGATTTCTATTATATTCAACAATTAGATGATATTAGTTTTTATATTTTCACATGAACTTAGTAAATTAAAAATGATATTTATCTTGTGCGTCATCGTTTTGCTATACTTTTTCTTAGTTGTGTTGCACTATTTGTGTATTTGTGAATTTTAGTACTATGTATGCAATTTCTTGTATTTATTTCAACATTTCATGTGAGTTGGTTGATGTGATGATATCTACTAATTGCAAGATTTGTTCAAAAAGTTTAGCATGTGTTTGACATTGTACCGTACCGTTTTGTACCGTTCCGAAACAACATGGTACCGAACGGTTCTATCCTTGGAACCGGATAGTACCGGACCGTTAAAAACCTCACGGATACATTACGGGTTTTACCAATTTACCGGACCGTTCCGGACCGCGCCCACCCCTAGCCTACGTTGCTTCATAAAACCTTTACAACCTCCTCTTTCGCACGACGGGAACACGTCCATCAATTTCACCTTCCGTGCGACGTCTCTGTCTTTGCCTTGTCGGGTTGTCATCCTCCTTCGCATGACTGAAACATGTCGTTTCCTTGCCGTTTCCATCGAACACGTCCATCGATTTCCAGATCTAGATCTGTGACGGTGGATAGGGTTAGGCTATTGTGACATCCGAGTCGTTGGAAGCAGGGCTGGTCACTGGCCGTGTCGGTGGCGTCTAGTGGCTCGCTAGATGGCAGTCACAGCTTAGGCGACGGCGGCCGGGGCTGACAACAGCGGTGGACGGAGTTGGGTGGGCAGTCATTGTTGCGGACAGTGGCCGGGGAAGCAGGGGATGGCGGTGGAAGCTGAGGCTGGGGGCTTGGGTAGGCGAGAAAGGGGGTTAGGGTTTGTGTTGAAAAGGAGCTGGCAGTGGTGGCCAGCGGTGGTGGTTTTAGTGGTAAATCTAGATTAATGTTGCAGAAGTAACTATGACCGGAGTCACTATAGAAGTGTCACTTAGGATGTGTCACTGCGAACTTGTCACTGTGGTGGTGGTGTTAGCGGCGGTCAATGAACAACGGCGGTGGTCAATGATCGATGGTGGTGGCCGCTGGTCACTATAGCAGGTGTCACTTTAGTGAGTATCACTGTGCCGGTATTGTAACTATAAAATAAAGTCACTATGAATTAAGGGTAATTTAGTATGTTTAAAACTTATTAGTCATATTTTTGGAAGTTAAACAATAAGGTCACTTTTTTGTCATTTAATCACTTTTTTGTAATATTGATGTCAAAACCCCTATTAACAAATTAGAAGGACTAAAAATATGAATTATATTTTAATTTAATCTTTAAGACTTTCACATAATTGAGCTTTTGATTTTTGGGGGTTGGGCTCAACACAATTTTTTTATAAACCTCAACCTTTAATCTAAAAAACTTGGACCGGGGTTGACTCCAACCCCTACTATGACCCCCAACGCTATTGGAACATATTTCGATAACGTGAAAATAGAACAAATAAGTAGTATATCAAAGCAAACTACGTGAATAGTGTAGAAGTTAGGGGAAATGGTCAAAATATGATTAAAGGTAATGTACAATTCCAAAATAGAAGTATTGTATTTTTCTCTAAACAAGAGTAATTTATCGTTATTATCAAACTTTATTGCTACATTTTGACATAATTAGACTCCAATATGACAATATACTCCCACAATTGATAGTACTTTCCGGTCATAATAGTAAATATTCTCATAAAAATAAATAAAAATATGGCACTTTTCTTTTGAAGTTCACATTATCTTTTCTTTTCTTTAGTACTTGTATAACTTTAAAAGTTAATAGTGTTGAAATGATAAGTTCGTATTTAGACACGCATTTGATGCATGTTTAGATAGAATTTTGATGGTTTCCCTAACTAGTTACCGGGTGTTGGTTCGAGTTTTGTATTGTTTGGGGTCAAAACAGGGATTTGAACCCAACACCAGCGCTTGAGAAGCAATCAAGATAATTCGAGATGCATTTGAGAATGAATCGAGAGTTTTAGAGGTCACCGGGAGAGTTACGACGAAGTTTTGATGACAAGAGAGCTCTAGGAGTGGCTAAGAGATTAAATGAAGACGGATAGAGATTGAAAACGGCGTTCAGGATGACCTTCTATCACTTGTTCAAGCATATCTTTTTGTAGAAATATACAAAGAACACGATTCAAGTTCCATATGAAAGCCAATTTGAAGGTCTACAAATCATATGAAGACACCATTGCTAGAATGGGAGAGGAGGAAGGTGAAACCACACTAATAAGTCAGATGATCGCTGTTGCGATATCAAAATGTGACCTTCCATCATTTTATTCATATCTTTTGATTGGATGATTCAAATCCAGCTTTGCCAGTTGTGGTAGATAGAAGACTGAAGTATCTA